TTTTTTTTTTAATATCATGGAAAAATATACCAAAATAACAAAGAAAACAATGAATATCCATCCTAACAGCACGTCTTTGGTTATAAGGTGCTAATATTTATGATTTCACCCCGTCTAAACAACACACAAACAAACAAACATAAAGTATTTGTATATGCATGGTATGTTTCTTTGCAGGTAACCAACTCATTCTTGTCGTAATTTTTGCAGCAGTCAATTAATTGCGCTCTAGTCTATAGATGAAACCCGTGTTGCAGATGACAAATGCGTGGTTATTAACAAATCTTGAAATGTTTTTGCCATCCGAAGATATTTACATCACGTGACATTTAGTGGCTCACCCTCGGCATCCTTATCCTTCATCATGGCCCAATCTTCTGTCTCTGCAAAGGTAATAGGCAACAGAAACATAGTAAAGAAACAGTTTTCTTGAGGATACTGGATTATTAACATGCCAAAAGATCCTTTAATCAGATAGGCTATAAGAGTTCGAGAATAAGAAATATATTGCTGTTTATCGGCAATTTGGTATTACATGACCTGAATCAATTGTTCATCACTTATAGTTTAACAGCATCTTTTGTGAAGTAGATTGGAAAATTCCAGATAGTATCAAAAAAGAAAGAAAAAGAAGTTAAAATCTAGCCTATTGTATAGGTTAGTTGTGTCCATGTCTATTATTGTGTGCTAAACATGCTCTAGGGTCAATCAACTTGAACAAACATAATACTCACTTGGCTTGTCTGCAATTGCTGAGAGACGTCTCTGTAAAATGGATGCCACGAAGAGGAAGATTGAGCACATACCAAACATCACAGTGATGGGGAATGCATCAACCTTCAAACAAACAACCAAAAAGCCTTTAAATGTCTTGCAATTAGCACTGTACATAAATGAAAAATTACATCCCATAAATCTAGGGTGGAATAATGGTGTGTGGAAAATATACAATAATATAAATAAAATAAAGGAACTTGGACCAAGAGAAGCATATTTGGTTTACTATATTGAGATGTGCCCCTAACCAAAGGCATATCAAATAAATAGAAAGAAAATTTGAATAATGATAAAGATAAATAGAAACAGGGTGTTCATGCTACACATGAAAAAACCACATATAATATAGCTCAAGACCATACAACATAAAAAGATCCAGCAACATACATTATATAGAACAATGCAAACAAACATGTTTAGGGGGATGCGGAAGAAGTTCATGATGGTGCTTCTAGCCTCCTCGGGAACGTATTGGGATCTCATCTTCATAATGGATGGCCAGAAAATCCCTACACAAGCCTCAAATGTAGAGAAGCCAAGAAGCTGGAGACAACCCGAAAATGAGATACCACCCCCTTTCACCTTCGATGGAGCGACCAAGAACTGCCACAATTAATCTGTCAGCTATTATTCCCATGAGAGGAAGAAACAATATGAACAAATAGAACTCAGGACATACACTGGTCAGAATTGGAAGCAGAAGGGAGGCAGAAGAAATTATGAATACAATCTGCATGTAGCTCTCCACTTTAGGTGAGTTGCGGGATAATAGACGAGACGCAATTGAGCTTCCCAACATTGAAGCCAACATGAAAGTTGCAAAAATAAAACCATGGGGAATATCTTCATCATTTGGACTCAGAGCAGGTGTCCATAGAAATACAAATGTATACATTGAACCTTCAAACAGAGACTGTATTGCACCCAGCAATGCAATCTTCTCATCTGACCAATGTCGACCATATTAAGTTATTTGGGATGGAAAAGAAGTGGACAAGGAAATAAATAGTGAAAAAAAAAAAAAANGGGCTACACTATCCAATAATAGTCGTAAGATATATAGAAGATTCAGTAATGAGGAAACAAGTGTAAAAGCATAATTCCCTCACAAGTAACAACCACCTTGCAGGTGGATTATAGTCTTTAACTCAACTAATCAAAGCCTAGGTTCATGCTTATGTAAGGTATGCTACATGGATCCTATATCTACCCCTGTTCCATTAACAGTCACGTCCATTTTTAAATCACAAAAGCTCAATTCCTTTTTGTAAAACGTGCTTGTAGGCTTATAACCAAGTTTCAACTAGTGATACTTACTTGAAACCAGAAAATTGAGGTTGAATTACTTGCCTTTGTTTCGCTTGCTTTTCGCTCCATCTTGTACCTGCCTCTTGGTCAGAAATTCTATTACAATGAAAGGAATTTGATAGCCACAATCCAGGAACCCAATTTGAGATGTTATATTCCAAAAATCAAGTCTTGTTCCTCTTGTATTTTTCTTCCACTCCCTTTAACCCGAATTTCCTTTGTTTGCATTTCAGAGAGATGATTAATGGAAGTTGATGGGAGTTATTGGAGGTAGGGGGTTAACTTTTAAATTCAATTTTCAACTTCTCCCTCCAAAATCCATTTTCATGCAAATCAGATCGGGTTAACCCACATGGGCAAACTCGTTTTCTTCCAACATCTCCCACTGGCACATGATGAGCTTGACCTGATTTTTAATATAATATAAATTATATTAATCTCAACATCTCCAAGTTCATATGGATAGATGAATCGTGCAACCATTGAGTTAATTTAAGAGCACATAACGCTATACACCTGTTAGGGATATACAGCAGCTCTAGAAGAGGAAATACGTTTCTCGCTATACCCCAGACATATTTTGTAACACCAGTTCAAGTATTTATGGCCCCTCAATTCATTTTAGAACATACTCAACTTTCGCATTTATATTGTGTTCACAATTGTGTCATAAAACTCAAATAATTAACACAATTGTCTAGCCGATGAATACGAGTTGAGGTTTTAGTTAAATAGTCTTCCTTTCCTACTTGAATCCTTTCATTTCAAGTCAACTGCTTTCCTACACATGTCCCATCAAACCGAATCAATCATAGTTATTGGCAACATGCTAAAGTAGCAACACTGAAATAAAATTCTAAGAAACGATCAAAAATCATAAGGGTATATATAAGTGAGGTCAAATGTGCCTCAAAGACTCACACAATGAATAAGCATGGATCAATTCTTTCATTTCTCATTGGTTGTTAAAGCACATGTGATATGAAACACGTGTTACGATATTTTCTCCTTTTCTTAGGGCGTATGTCTAATCTTACAAATTAAATACATCGTACAAATTATAGTTCGAATATTCCTCGATATCTAACTTGAGTTCTCCTTATACTCATTCCTCCAAGCATTCTCAAATCGAGAACTCGATCTGGCTACTAAATGGATTTAACGAATAGAAAAATCAATTTCGATTACTTGTTGTAATCTCATCTTGATACCTTAACAAGGCGACTGGATCATGTGCACAACATGATTACTATCAAGGCCACATGATCATGTACACAACATGATTATTTTGTCTCATCTCGACACATCTCAAAACGTCTGAGACGATTGCTCGTGTGAATGAGCCAATCTCAACCCGTTCGACATACTTTATATGTGCATACAAATCATTTATCTCATAATCTCAACATTATATTACACATGAACTCAAAATTGTTCATCTATAGGCACATAAAACTCAATCAAGAGTTTGTCTGATACAACAAGTATCATATTCTACGAAATTCTAGAGATTCCATATTATCAACAAATATATTTCTAGACATCTTCAGAGTATGATGATTACATATTATCATTTACGTAGATATATCACAGGATACTTTCTTTGCTAATATCTCTCACAGAATTAACATTAATTGTTTGGTTCCATCTTGATACTTGAGATCTTAACATAAAATATTGTTGCGTAACTATCATGGATCTCATATTCTCAACTAGTATCATTAGATGCTCGATACATTCATACCAAATAATTTCTTTAGCTGCCAAAATATACATTACAACATATGCTTCTTGCTACTCTATATAGCAAAAGCGCACAAGTTAAATAACTAATTATGCTCGACTAACTCTCATTCTTAGTCAACAATTGTATATCTATTCCAATCACAAGTTATTCATTTGACAACGAAATAGAATAACTGACAGCAGCACCCTTCAGGTATCACAATACATTTTCTAAACATAATATTGATACCTACTGATTAGATCAATGGCATGACCATTGTTAGGAAAAGTATATATCATAGTTTACTTCTATCTCCTAACTCTTAAGCGTACTAGATATAGTTCTCTGGATATTTCTTTGTACATTTATGAAATCTTTTGGACATTTATGTAGACTTTTATGATCATATTTGCAATTCCACATGAGTATTTATATTTCAAAATGGTCTCTATACATTCCTTATCATGTATACATTCCTTATCATGCTAAGCCAATCCAATGTCATCAATATCAAAGTTAGAATTACATCCTATCATCAGACATTTTCACAAATAAAGTAATTTTCGTCCATATGAAAAAAATTCTTGTACGAGATTTAACCCTGTTAAAAACTCAAGTACGAATGTCAAGATGACTGTATTAGGCCATATATGTAACAGTAAAGTTATCACTATACAAAAAAAGCCCTCAACATGAAATCTAAAAGTCGATTCATGTTGATATCTTTAATCATTTCTCAATTGAGAATAAAAATACAATCTCTAGGTCGATTTGGTGTAACTCTAAATTTAAACATATCATCGCGGCTAGCATTGATGTACAGAAGCGAATCACATCGTTATGAAAAAATTTATCCAACTCAATACACTCACATACTCAATACACTCGCATTGAGTATAACCTTTTTTAAAAAATGAGCTTTATCTATCAGAAACTCATTAGTCTTCCACTTAACTTTCAAGAGCCTAAATGTTCTCGATAAACATAATGTCTGAATAGAAATTTCACCATATCTCAGATTAGGTCGAAATTCTATACTCCATATATATACTTTCCATCATTTTTTCTCAAAATTCATCTTCTGATTTTTTTTTAACCAAGAATCATTGGCATTAAATAGCTCTTAGATCTAACTCGTAACCAAGAATCATTAAATTAGATAGTTCTTGGATGGCTACCACTCGGATAGATAGTTCCCATCAGAATCGAAAATCATTGATATTAAATGGTTCTTAGCTCCCACTCGAAACCAAGTATCATTGAAATTAGATAGTTCTTAGATGGCTCCCACTCGGATAGATAGGTCCAACCCAGAAACAAATTATTCCCACTTGAATAAGAAGTTTGAATATTCACTTACATATTCAAAACTGATTCATCAATACATATAATATCAATTTCAATGATATTCTCCAATCTTTTCTCGCTTACTGAAAAATATGTCAAAAGTCACTTCTTTTGACAGATATCTATCCAAAATTTCAGTTAAGTACCTTTTTGGATTACATATATGTCATTGAGACACATCTAGTTCTCAATAGACTTATGTTCTCATACTCGTTATCGAGAACATATATAGTCCATTAAGAGTCTATGATAACCCATATTCGGTTATTTACGTGTCCAAAATTTATTTATTTTGAAGGTACCAACATTGAGAGAACTCCATTAATTAATATGTTGTAGTTAGCCAACGCTCTTTCCAAAAGCATATACGTAAGTTGTACTACATATCTTGAACCTCATCAGTTATCATATTCAGCAATATTTCATTCTTTCAATCCAATACGCCATATAATTATTGGACATTAAAGAATGGTCAATCCAATAAGAGTTGCTCTCATTACATAGATCATTGATATCTTGTGATAGAGATTCACGTTGTCAAACAATTCTTAAAATCATCACTTCCATAATCTGATTTTCTACTCGACTTCATAAAAGTCTAAATCAATACAATATGGTTAACAGCATTGTTCACATTGCTAACGTGGAAAAATTGATTCTCCTACACGTACAGCTTTGGACACAGCATGGTTTAAAGTGCTGACGTAGAATATTTGCCAAAAAATAAAAATAAAAAAATACAACTCATACTAAGAGGCCAGACCGGGTTATTCTTGCATTTCAAATACTCGACTCTAAACCTAACCACCGAATTTCGAGGCGACCGTCGATCGTACCTCCAGTCGAAAAAACACGAGCACTACTCTACGAGTTCACCGCCTGATTTCCAGTTAAAACACTACCCCTCCAGTAGCTGTGATTTTTGAGACGAACCATTGAAGTACGTCCGGTTGCCGTATAATCAGTACCACCATCGTTACACTCCATCCGTCAGCGATAGACGACCAGTGAACTATCTCCTTCGTGTTGGGTAAGTAAAAAGAAGGCAACATATTTGATTTTCCCTTTTCATGAATGTGGTTTACGGTTCTTAAAACTGATTCGCTTTAGCCTCTTTCCTGTTGAAACAATTGATTGGCTTTAGCCTTTTCTGTGTGCAAGATTATTTGTTGTTTTCATGTTATACATTGAGTCCATATATGTGAGAATGAAGATGAGTGAGGAGCTGCAATTGTCAAATATTTCTGGGCAATCGAAGTCTCTGGCAGGAAGATAACCAATTTTTCTTTCAAATTCAGCACGTAAAATTTAGGTTATCTGGCAGGAGGATAACCAAATAACCAATGTTTCTGGGCAATTGGAGTATCCTTATGAAATGTTTTTGGGCAATGGAATGCTGGTTGTGCTTCATTTATGTGGTTATGTTTATGGGCAATGGAATTCTAGTTGTGCTACCATCCATTTTAATGTTCTTCTTTTTTGTGATTGAACCAAGATACTTCGATGTCGGGTAAGAATAGGAAAATTTGTCAGTGTTGTAGAATGCCGGAACATATGATGTCCGAATGCCCCAAAAAGAGAAGATGCCTCAAATGCGGTGCAAGATTCGTCAAATGGATGGAGGTGGAAAAGTACAACGAACATAAATGTCTTTGTTTCATTGTTGTATTCGCGACTGCAGGTTCTTCAAATGGATCGCTTGCTAAACTAACGGATGAGAAAGACTTGGAGATTTCCTTGAACAAAAAGATGCGCAAGGGAAAACGTATTTTGGAAGATTTGACATGAAATCCGATACAATGGGAATGTGAAACATAAGTCTTTGTATTAGTACGTAGTATGGCATGGGTTTATGTAGGGTAATGCAGTGACAATGCAATTCCAATTTGTAGTAGTTTAGATTATTCGCCAATGCTATCTTATCTCTAACTTTAGAACTTCAAATTATGTATGTGGCAATGTAGTTTTATGTGCTCTTTGAATTCAATAACACCAACAACTGAGTTTTATGTGCCTTTCAAGTTATCTTGCGATAGAAACAGAAAACAATCTTCTCTGAGAATTTCAACCATGCAAACCACCATGTCCCGAACTCTTGCTCCAGCATAGAGAAGACAAATACAGATAAATACCCAATCATTGGATAATTGAACATAAAATGAGATCATATCAAATGTTTATCTAATGCAACAACATTTTTGTGGTCAGAAAATCAGCATCATTTTCACTAAAAACTCACCAGAAATTTATAAGGCAAAAAAAATAATAGCTCCAAAATAGAGGTCCATTTGCCTCATAAAATGCATCCCTTAATGGAAAGCCAAACAAAAATGTACAAATGCATCACTCAAGAATCCAATTTGAACAAAGCTGACAAAATAGCTTGATGTACATCATTCATTACAATCTGAAAATCGTCACATCTTAAACCAAACCAGAGAAAAAAAATAACTCTAAGTGTTTGCATTGCATGAGACAACCACGTATTGATGTTCACTAGTAGGCGTGAATAACGGTCCTATTGATGACTGGGAGGCACCGTACATCCAACTTTCTACGGCACTTTGAGAGCGTGGCGTCAGTGGTTGGAATGTGATTACTCACCTCCGGCAAATCGTAGCATCCCCTCCTACATTATCATCTTCTAATCTAATTACATTGTACATCAAGTTCTCATCATTGGATTCTACAAATACTTCATCATCCAATACTTCTGTTATTTCTTTTCCTACATCAAAATCAACAAAGCCATATGTTCAATATTAGAAAAAAAGGGAAATACAGTACCGGAAGCAGGTTAATTACAATACGATTTCATTACACTAAGCAATATAATATTAGCAATCTCACAACACCGAAAATAGGTAATATTCACTCTTTCCACAAAATTAGGTACCCTTTAGGGTCAAACCCCAAATCCCATACTTAAGCCTTATAAAACCAAACATTTTCCCAGTAGTTTTTATATGGGACAAAGGTTTCCAAAAAACACTTAAATCAAAATTCTTAACTAGTATTGAGCTCAAAGATGCTCATTTAAAACATTTCCAATAGAAATAGTAAAAGGGCATGGAGCAAAAATGAAATGACCAAAAATGTTATGCTTTATATGCAGGATGGCCACAAAATTCACGAGCACCCACCACTACCACAAATGTCATCGCAGATAACTCATTATGCTACTTCATATATGGCCAACTACTTTTGAGATGCATAGATATGTATTTGTATATTTTCAAAGTGCAAGTTCAATAAAGTTTGGATTCTACCTTTCTCAACCATTTGTTCCTTGTCTGTGGAGAGTGGATGTCATGTCTACTGGGAAAAAATTCGGAAATGCTGGGGTGTAGTAAGAGATGGATGTCCACCAGGACCCAGTATTGTGAATGTTTTTCGTGTTCTAACCGGCACCATAGCAAGAGGGGATTCTAACTGGGAAAGAACTCCTGAACGGAAACGGCCCAGTGGCCAAGTCGCGAGAGGTGGACGTTTACGAAGCCGGACCCAGAACTCAGAACATTTTTCGTGTTCTCACCGGAATTGAACCCATTGCACACTTAGATCTGTCGGGAAATAAATTGCTCACGGGTTTCACTTCTGGGTATTGGGAAATCTGACTTTTGATGGTGGGAATAGATGAATAATGGGAATTATTGAAGGGGTCGGGTTGTAAAAAATGAAATAACGATCAAATCCAAATGACCCGCCTTTCCCTGAATTTTCCACGTGAAGCCGTTCCCGCCTACTTCCACGTCAGCCCATTTTGAAATGCTGTGAACATTGCTGTTAACTAATGCTGTACAAGAAGCATTATTTTTGAAAAAATGCATTATTGAAAAAATGGGGCTCAAACAAGGGCTAAAGGTCTATTTAGATTTTAGAGGGTGAATTGAGAAAAGAAATACTTTTTCTTTAAAATTTATTAAAATTTTTGCAAAAGACATAGGTAGTACAAATAAAGAAACTAATGTAAAAGAATAGAATCGAATCAAATCAACCCCATTGCCCGGAAAAGTTAGGAAACTATGTGGAGTGGAACCAAATTTATAAGAATAATGCTATTAGTAGAATAGAGTCCACCTTTAATTGTCTGATATATCAAAATGTAATTCGAATTTATTTAATAATCGAACATATAGTCCTCAATCCGTAGTCAGTATAATGGCACCGAGTGAAATCAAGGAGAGAACGAGGGTTCACAAAAAATGGAAAACGATTCTTCAAAGCACCTACAGAAATCATGGAGAGAACAAGAGTTACATTGCCTAAAATTGGAAGGAATGCGTTGGTATAGTGAAAGAGAAGATTGTGTGATATAGCCCCTGTTCGATTAACATTAAATTAAATTACATTACATTCCATTTTTCTCTCTCCTATTTTCAACCATACAATCTTCTATAAAATAATATTACACGTAAATCGAAAACTTTATTTTCTTTTTCAACCACTAATTTTTCTAAAAAATACTATTCCCCCCATTACCATTTTCAGGTAATGGGGGCCAAACAGGGGCATAGTTGCAAACAGTGGTAGATTTACATAGAGGGCAGTGAGGTTAGTTGCCTCCATACTAAATTTTTGGGGTGGTTTGAGCCCTATATTTTGTAATATTGTTATGATGGAGAACATGTTATTAAAAAATAAGAAAATGTTTGAATTTGCTTGTAATATTATTTTATTGAAAAATGTGTGATTGAAGTGAGATCAAATCACTGTTCAATAATGTATTTAAATGAAAAAAATTAGGCTCAAACAAGGGCTTCAAATTAAAATTTTGCACAAGATTTTTAAAAAATTACTTATAGTTTTTCAATTTTGCCCCAACAATTAAACATTTGTAAAATTTTCTCACAAGTCTATAATCCTAGGTTCGTCCTTGGCTGTGAAGAGAAATAGAAACTGAGATGGTTGAGTGAAAGTTAAAGCAAAATAACAGTAGTTGCAAGTTTTAGTGGCGGAAGAAAGAGAAATGCTATTTACAGTCGCTCACTATTGCAATCGCTTTATATGACATATATGTAGCAGTCAGTGATTTGATACATTAATGTAGTAGCTTTGTATTACCTTATGCAATAAATTACTAACTGTCACATGTATACCATGTAGGACGATTGCGATAGTGAGCAACAAATAACATTATTCTTAAAAAAAGACCGAAATGATGTCGCACTGAACGAAAGTTTAAACAGTAATCTTGCCTTTCACTCTTATAATTTTATAGGGATTAAAGGTAAAACCTCACTATCGCCTAAAATGGTTCTAGATTTTAAAGCCGTTTCAATCTGTTGACTTTAAACTTTTTTCAAAGTAAATCAAGAGTTGGTTTTTAAAATGTTTGTAAAATCACATATTAGTCATAAAACAAGGTCTAAGCATGCATTTACTATCAAGGAGATGAAAATCAATTTTGCTATAGAACTACAATTTAAGATAACTAAATATAAATAGAGTTTAACCATGAACTCTTAATCGGTCTGGTCATTGAGTTTAAACATGAACTCGAGAACTAAACCGAGCTTTTTTACAACTGCATTTACAACTAAATCTCGATTGTCAAAGTTTTACATAATTAACAAGTTGACAAAATTTGTGTTATTGTGTATAAGAATAATTCTACATGTACATTATGGTATCCATATGTTTGTCTATAATGTACATGTGAAATTCTATGATTGGAGGGTTGAAAAAACTATTTTTCAACTCTCTAATGATGTTATGACATTTGTACATTACGGATAATTTTATGAACTCCACAATGTACGTGTAGCATAACCCTTGTGTCTAAACTCACATCTATAGAACAAATCCAAGAGCAAGTGTAAAGCTAAAGTATAAGTTTTTACAAGTAAAAGACTAGTAATTTGGATCCCATAAGCAAAATCAATTAACCGAACTAAATGGCCATTGCACGAAAGGATTACGTTCAAGGGATCGCTTGCTGAACTATCGAAGAATACACTTGACAATCGAGCTAAGATCAGATCAACTTTGATGACTTGAATTTGAATTCGGATCCGGATCCGGATTTGGATTTGGATTCTGATTTTCTCTTTCAACTGCATCAAAATCTATCGAAGCTTTTCTACTACTTTTATTTCTCAAAAATCCATACAAATTCTTGAACTCTTTCATAGGATTAGTATTCTCCCTGCCAAATAGCCCGGACTTACAGTCTAACTCTTCCGAGCCACGACCCGAAACGCTCCCAGACAACCTCCTCGCCACCCGACTGGCATTGTTACTATGCAGCGCCGAAATAACCGTTTTTATTGCCCGGTTAGGTGAGGTCCGGTTCGAAATCATAATCTCGCCAATTTCAGCCGGACTCAAACTCGCACCGATTTGAAAAATCTCTTCAACCTGTGGGAACAATTTGTGATCCTTTAACCCCAAATGACTACTGGCCAAAATCTTAAAGCCCGAAAAATCACACAGAGGGAAATGGATATGGACATCAACTCTTCCGGGTCGGATAATTGTCGGGTCAAGATTTTCTTTACTGTTCATTGTGAATACCATAACCCTTTCTTCACCACAGCATGAAAAAATCCCATCCATGAAATTTGAGATCCCTGGAAAGCTCACGGTTGTTGATTTCGCATTCAGGTAACGGTCCAGATCTTCGATCACGATCAGCGATTTGTTCGAAGTTTGTAGCATAAGGAATTTTAGATCTGAATCATCGGCGATTTTGTTTAAATCGAATTCGTATACATCGTAGTGAAGGAATTTGGCTATGGCCGCGATGAATGTCGATTTTCCAGTGCCGGAAGGTCCGTATAGTAAGTAGCTTCTCTTCCAAACGCGACCTAATCGATGATAATACTGTTTGGACTTCAGAAAGTTTTCCAGATCTGATTTGATTTTGTTCTTCAGATCCGTATCCATCACAACTGTATCCATAGTCGCTGGATGAGTAAAGGGAATCGATCTCCACCGTCCGTTTCTCTGCAGTTCGGTTTCTACATTAACGAACAGTCTCACCTCTTTTCTTTTCTGCTCAATATCATCGAACACTGTGTGAATATGCTGCAAATAAGGAACTAGAATTCTTCGCTTGTCTTTCTTTCTGATCTTCAGAATGAGCGATCTTGAGCTAGTTTCTTCGTTCATCCAATACAGCCTGGCGCCGAGAAAATCGTCCAAAACAACCTGATTCGAATCGAGAACAAGATTGATTTCAGTGGATTTGTTACCTGAGTAAAGATTGGTGAAATCAGAATCTTCCATGCCCGGTAAGGAATTCAGGTAAACATATACTTTTCTGTAAAGTTGATTTTCCTGCATGTGCTCTTTGAATTTCGGCACCTTGTAAAACTGATACACGTAGCACTTCTCCTCCAAGGATCTCCACCATTTCTTCAAAAAGTGAATTAAAGAAGATTTTGACAAAAATCTGAAGACTATATACCCAATAAAGATTGAAATCACTATGCCGGTCAGATTTGCAAGAAGCATCATAACCATATCGAACAATAATTTACGAAAAATAAAAAGGGATAAACTTATTATCGAATTAGGACTTATTCAACTTTTTCAAGAATGATGAGCTGAAATTATGGGTTTGCTGCTTTTGGAAAGCGGTGGATTCGGAGAGGGTATTATTGACATTGGAAGAATTATGGAAAGAATTATTGATTCATGGAATTTTAGAGAGAGAAAGGCAACAACTATAGAGAGAGAAAATGCTTCATGCTTGAACCTGTAAATGTAATGTATGCATAAAGAATGGAGGTGGGAATATTAAAAGGAGGGTGTATTTAAATGTTTTGCAGGCTATCGACGGCGCACGTCATTGGTGATTTTTGATTGGTCCAACATTGGGATTGGAGAAAATACCTTTATAGCTGTTTTCGTATGACTTGGACTATTGGGTCAGGGTGCGAGTGTGAAAGACAAATTTATTTAAGAAAAATGTGTTATTATTTGATAAAATAAAAATAAAAAATAATTATAATATTAACAAGTCGAGACAATAATAAAAGGTTTTATAATGAAAAAGTATTTGTTCACAATAATGATACAATCTCAGTTGCAATAATTAAGATAAAAGTGAAATTAGTTTGATCGACACTCTCTCTCCCTCTATTTGGGATGTCGGCCTTAATTCTGATTATGTTTGTAATTGACTTTATTTTATACAAGTGTTAATGCGCCAGTCAGTGTGAATAAGACCCTTGATACATAACATCAACCCACTAGTAGGGATGTGAGTGAGTCGGTCCGAGCGAGCTCGGGAGCCGAAATTCTCTGCTTGAGCATGGCCTGAGCAAAATATAGTAAAAAAATCAACGCTTAGTTCGGGCTTTACTGAGCCACACGGGGCCAACTCAAGTTCAGGTCATCGCCTGAAAATGAGGTTCAATGGGGTCGAGTCGAATTGACATTCTTACTTACTAGTAAAACCAATTATGTGGTGTGTATATATATATATAACAATTGTGGTATACATTCAAATTTCTTTTATAAGTACATGAAACATGCTTCATACAACTTATCGTGCACTCATTCAAACTACTTCATATGTTGGTAAAATTTTAATTTTGTTGCACTCTTCTGCTGTTATACACTTGAATTTATAAATCAAATTGTTTGAACACAATATTAAGGATTTGTGATATTCTTAAAAGTTGATGGGCTTTGCGATGTTTCTAAATGCTCATGAAGTTGGATTCATGAATTGTGTATTGAAAAGTGAATAAAAGTTGAGGATACAATAAATTTTGATCAATTTTTTGATAGATAATTTTTTTTTATTAAACAAGCACAAAAATTATTTAATAGGAATTTAATTGAAAATGGGCTCAGCCATTTGATCCTTCACTTAGGTTCGTTTAATATGATTTTTGCTTTTGCTTTCATTTCCTATAAAAAGAGATTTCGGAGGAACTACCTTAATGAACTCCAGCCATTTTCTCTAGAATTGTGTAGGCAAAAACCAAAATTGCGGCTGTCTGGTCCATCACCACTACAAAATCTTTGATAAAGTCTCCCATATCAACTAATCATTTGAAAATGGGCACCAAAAAACTTAATTTATGAACTAATAAGAATACTTTTTGCTAATCTAATAAGGTAGGATGCAGAAATTATCTACATAAACTCAAAATTAGTAGGACAATTGAGGATCAAAGAGAAATTCATCAATAAGTGGAGAAATAAAAAAATTTAGAACTCGAGTTGTACATAGCATATTCCAATTGTAGACTTTTAGTGCATATTTTATGTAATACTAGACAAAAATGGATAGTGTACTAAATGATTTTTTACAGCCTAAATAAGTCATTTAGTAAATTAAGGGGTGTTTGATAGGTATTTTTATGTAAAAATGTATTTTAGAATAGTAAATTGATATGAAATGTGTGGTTGAGAAATAAGGAAAAGTTTTTAATTTACGTGTAATATTATTTTAATAAAGAACGTATGGTTGAAAAGAAAAGAGAGAAAAATGTATTTTGAAAAAAAATGACGACCAAACGGGGACTCAATTCAGAATATATTTTAATATGTTGTGCTTGATAGTCTTCTTTTTTTCTTTTTCTTTTTTTAACTTTTCAAGAATTAAATCTTAAGACAGAGAAAATGTAAAAGAGCACTGGCGTAAAACTTCTGGCCTTGTCTAGTTTGAAGCAATCCGCCTTGGACCAATTCAAACTTTTTAATTCGTCTCTTGGGTTTCTTTGGTCCCACTCACTCGCATGATTAATTTGAAAAACATGACTAATCCCGCTGCGAGGTTAGCAATGAAAAATTAATTCATAAATTTTGACTCGGAATTCACTGAAAATATATTGAAAATGAAAGTATCATTCCTTTTCAAATCGTGATATGAAAATGAAAGTCAAGAAAGTGGTGCTCCGGCCTTTAAAATTTGCTGCTCCTTTGTAATGCCCAAGTGGTCCAAATATATATGCTCTATGACAATAATAAAGGACGCCGTTGATTTATGGAATTATAATACAAATATATTCGAGGGTCAGCTTTGATCAATATATATTAACATTGTTCATACGTACGCACTTTATCTTTGACTAAACTTTACATATTAATTACAAATTTTGAATAAATTATTTTTCTTGTAATTTTTATTATTATTATTATTTTGATGTAAATTAATCAATAATGGCCTAACTAGTTGGTTATAGTGCAATTAATGATCACAAAGTCTAATGCCAGAATGATTAGGTTGTTGGGTAGCAGTGGGAAACAATTCCAGCTGAAAATCCTCCCATAGCCACGTAGATGGACCACCCTGAACACATTCATCCTGTTAGGCACTGATTGGGATTTCCAGAAAATACCTCTAGATTTACAGCCATGCTACAGTGCTTGCGAGGATGATCACAAGGTTGACACAACACTCATGAAAGTCGAGATTATTTTATTTATGAGGGACCCGCGCTAGGGCATGTGAGGGCACGATCACCCGCGAGGTCATCCTCGTGGGTTGTTTGGCTTTTTCCTTGACTTTAAACATAAACGTGATTACTACTCGCCCCACGTTGGGAGTTTGGAGTAAGTCACATTGTGGATTAAATTGTAATCCTTAAAATTTTGAGAACAATACGAGCCTATTTGTAACATATTTTCCAAATCATTCGCATGAAAAAGTTGACCATTGAAATATAATCTAAGTCCCACACACGACACAGCCGATCAATAATTGCAGCTTGAAGATAGATATAACGGTAAAAAAATTCATTTTTATGTCCCAAAAAGTTGGCTCAAACAGGGGCTATAACTCAACAAGTATACAAAAATAAATAAATAAATAAAAACCCAAAGCAAATATAAGTATTCAACTAGCTTTTCGTAAATGTGATGTAAGAGTGCCCTATAGTTGCAGTTGGAGGTTTTCACAGTGAAGAAGTTTAGAACTGCGATCTCACACCTCTCAGTCTGTATATGTAGAAAACTGGCCCTAAATATCCTCTTATGTATCGAGGAGACGAGTACAAAGATGATTATGCTCCACATTATCCAACAATGCTACTATTACAGTCTCTCTGCAATCCAATCAATCACTCCTGAAAGTAAAACATGGGGAAAAAGGAGAGTTCAGTTGAAATTAGGCAGAGATTAGGGAGTGAACCAGAAATGTTAAATAAATGGATTAGCGAAAATCCAAATTAGGAGGTGGTAATTTCTAAAAGGGTTAATCTTATATCAAAAGGGTTTGCAAATCCTATAATGTGATTACATAATTATACAACCAGGGTTTTAAGGACTAAAAACAACAATCAATGATCTTGGGAATCTTGCTGAATGTTCAAAATTTGGGAAACCACGAGCTTAGATAGCTCGTTAATGGCTGCTTGAACCTGATAATCGTCTGAATCCCTATCACCTGGCCATGATGATTGTGAGCTTAATCGAGAATATTCGCTTGTAGCAACTTTCGTCTTTGTTGTTTTAGAGATGACTTTTTCCAAATCCGACTGCGATAACGGCCTTGGCTCCTAGAAAATACAAACAAATTTGACAAGAAAATGGGTATAAGTTAGAATAGTTCATTCCTGAACCAAAGCATTGTTCAAGCGTAGCCTTATATAATTTCTTGCATCTTTAAATTACATTTTATAAGTCATGTTACGTAACTAAATACAGCAAATCATTTATCACAGATAACAGAGGAGAACATACAGAGAGAACTAATAATGCTCCTGCGATTGCCACCTGTAAATGAACTACTACAACAAATTCAAGCTGGCAAAAGCAGCTCAAAGAATTTATTTTATGAAGCAACAATTGGCAGAATTATGTTAAGCTAGTGACCCGATTTAAGTTTACCACACGAAAATGATTTGCATCTGGCGGGGTAACGGGTACTTACTAAGTTCTCTCCTTATAAAATTGAATCAGTAACGAGATGCAGGTTAAAAGTGGAATTGATTCATTCAGTGAATGGCAAGAGGAGGCAAGGCATTTTAAGAACTTGGTCTTCCTCGATTCCCATGGCACATTGCGTCGTAAAGCTCTAATCTTAT